AATATCCAGTGAAAATGGTCAAGAAGTTAAAGAAATAAGCTGAGTCCATTGCTTACTATGGTTGGTTTCGACTTGGAGTCTAGTCTTCAGTCATTTGTATCTATCATCCAAAGGACCCCACTTGGGAACTTACAACTCCCTATATATATATATATATATATATATATATATATATATATATATATATATATATATATAATAAGCATACCTAGCATATTATTCAGCTACTCCAATAGTCCTATGTTCGTAACTTAATCGATTTAATTATCTACTTTTTTACCAATAAATATCCTACTAACCTGTTTATCACTCAGCTAATGGTTTCAGTTATATCTACTGGAGTATACTTGCGATATACAACATGGTCTATTTCAAATGACTAAATTCCACTATCCCCGGGTTATATGGACTTAATCACTGCTCAGCTGATGCCGTTGGGTATCTCACCTGTATTAGGAGCAAGGTAAGTTATGTTGTACCAAATAAAGCTGCATTCAGTTAGAGGCTCGTCTTTGAAGACTGGGATATTTTCCTGTAGAAGCAAAGAGATCGAGAAGCTTCCTACTCTTAAGCTTAATGTCGATCCAGAGCAGGTTTTGGGTACCGTCTCACATCTGACAAGTTATACGTGGTCTTGTTTAGATTTCCAGTTATTCCTCCTGAAAGTCATTTCATATAAACACGTGAAAAAGTTCACACTTACATGGCTGTTCGTTTGATTTTATCGATGTTGTAATAATTGCTATCTCTGCGTATGCATGGCTGAACCTTTTCTAAAATCATATTCAGCAAATTTATTTGTTGTTCTTGGCGTCTTATAGTTTCCAAATAGTCACTTCGATCTTGTTCAAATTCTGACTGAACATCTTTAATTTCCATTTGTAACGCATATACCTGCACATAAAAGTAGAAGTTATAAAATAAGTTTGAGGTGAAAAGATGTATCTGTGTTTGTTTGCTCAGCAATTTACTACAATATCGGAGTTTAAGCAGTCTATGAAGCAATAAGGAAGCAATATTTTTTTATACAATCAACAGGTAATACCAACCTGTTTTTGAAAGGATGGGCTTTATAATATGGGATTAGTTGTTTAACATTTGGTTTATAGGTGGGTCGAATGTACACATTTCAGGTTCTAGAATATTGGGATACTTAGTGACTATTGATCATAATTATATTTCCTGACCTTAGAGTGTTGTTCGACACCTCTGACCAGAAGGTGTTTTAGGAATGTTTTTCAGTAAAAGCCGTACCAAAGAAATACATCAGCCTAGTAAAGGCTCGCTACTCAAACACTACTGGTTGAATCAGAGCTTATGGGGATTAGTCATCAAAAGTGACAATATCAAATGGTGCTCGTCAGTCCCACCCCTTACTCCTCTATTAAAAGTTTCGTCAAATATATCCCCCAAAAAGAAGAACGTTTTTCATCTAACTTTTCAGGAACTGATCTTCCTCCTGGAAACTCAGTAATCGACATAAATTACGCCGATGATATAGTTCTATTTGATGAATATATTAATACAGAGCCTCATGGACACATTGAGTAACAAAGTAAGCATAATTTCAATGCGTTTTTCTCCTTCTGAATGTGGTCTGTGTCATTGCCTAGATTAATCATATGGAGTAAAATAGTTGAGTGCTTTGACCATTTTACTTATCCTCGAAGTATAATCACCCCTAATGCAGTGCTAACTGATGAAATCATGGCATAGATTCATAAAATTCGATTGGTACTTGCCAACTTGCGCCACTTGTGGTGTATGTGAGTTACCCACCTGAGAAGCAGAAGATGAGTCTAATGTGCAGCCGTCCTCTCTATGGTACTCTATGGCAGTAAAAAGAGAGGACATACGTGGGCTGCAGGTTTGTGATCATAGGTGCTTCCGAAGCGCTCCTCGAATATAGTCAGTACTGCTGTGTTTTGGCATAGAGTGTAAGGCCAAGATAGTGATGCTGTCCATAACTCCATGAGTCTTCATTGACTATGCATGAGTAATTCTGATGTATGAAGATTACCTGGTTGGGGTCCGAGAGATACCTGTGATTAATGATTGGAGATGTTGGATGACGTGACTCAGAATTGATCGCAGTGGCACAGGTACATTTCGTTCTACGTCTTGAGTCTAAGTATTACCTTATGCATACACGTTTATTCCTCCCCAATGTTAAGTCTTTATTACTATCACTGTTATTAGGATTCTTTCGAATCCTTTGATTTTAATTTGATTAATTAAATTTCTTCGTGGTGATGTGGTATGAGGCTTGGCTCAACATAAATTTGTGTTAGGCTCTATTTTCATTACAATTAACTAATACAGTGTCTAATTTTACTGCAAAAGCTCAGAATATTCTGAATCTTTAAACTTAGTTAACACGCTGGCCGATGGGGACTCGTTGGTCGTAGGTCAGATTACGGGGACCGTCTACTGCAACTATGCACAGACCACAATCTGTTCCTGGCCAGCACTAACTTTCGGCACAGTCATCGCCGATGTGCCAGCTGGCGTCCTCCCTCTGCATCTCAAGCCTGGACTCAGATTGATCACATTGCGATCAGCTACCGCTGGCGTGGTTGTGTACAAGACTGCCGCTCCTTTTGGAGTACCTATCTGGACTCTGACCATGCCTTGGTCTGCGCCAATCTTACCTTACTTTTCAGTGGCCAACGAAGTGACCGCCACCAACGAATTGATGTTAGCAAGCTGGTTGCAACTTCTGTTGCTAGTAAGTATCGAACCGAGCTAGTTTCTAGGCTAGCTACCATTCCACCGAAAAGTATAGATGAGCATTGGTTGCAATTGCATGACGCCATGAAAATGGTGGGTACAGTCAGTTGCGGGTACGCGAAACGTCCCGCCTATAAGCACTGGGTTTCTTCAGGCTCCTTACAACTCATTGAAGCCCGTCGGTCTACTCCGGGTGACCGTGAGTTTGACCATAAACGAAGGATGTCACGTAAGGAAATTGGGTAAAGCTTGCGTAAGGACCGAGAAGCCTGGTGGTCGAAGCGTGCTAATGAGCTGGAAGCAGCAACTGCATCTGGTAATTACCGGAAACTCTTCCAACTCATCCGAGCCACTGGCAGCAAGAAGTCTGGTGTGAGCGAAACAATCTGCGAGGATGATGAGATGCCAATCACTAACATCCGTCAACGTCTTGGACGGTGGGCAGAATTTTTCGAAGGGCAGTTCAACTGGCCTGCTGCTCCGGCAACATCGGTCAGACTGTCCTGCCCTCCATGGCCGGTGACGAATGGTCCAGCAAATGAGGCGGAAGTCCGCAAGGAACTCCAACTCTTGAAGCGCTACAAATCACCTGGCCCAGATGACTTACCTCCGGCTCTTTTTAAAGATGGTGGTGACTTTTTGACTAAGGAATTGACGACGTTGTTCACAAAGGTTTGGGAACTAGAGAGTGTGCCAACGTCATGGAATGAGTCGATAGTTGTCCCTATCTTTAAAAAGGGTTCACGTCGTTCCTGTAACAACTATCGGGGGATAAGTCTACTTCCGATTGTGTCCAAGCTGTTGGCTTCCGTCATTCTTCGTAGGTTGTTCAAAACCCGAGAAAGATTGACTCGCGGGGAGCAGGCTGGGTTTCGTTCTGGTCGAGGATGTATTGATCATATCTCCACCCTCCACTAAATGTTAGAACACCGTCATACTTATCACAGACCAACAAACGTAGTGCTAATTGATATCAGGGCTGCCTTCGACTCGTTGGACAGGACTGTTCTCTGGGGTTGTTTATTGAAGAAGGGTGTGTCTGAGAAGTTTATTGACATCCTAAAAGCCCTATATAAAAACACCTCAGGCAGAGTGAGGGCTTACAACCACCTCTCTCCATTGTTCCATTCGAGCAGTGGGGTTAGGCAGGGTTGCCCAATCTCACCATTCCTCTTCAACTTTGCCATCGACGATATTCTGGAAACAGCTCTGATGAATGTAAGTAATGGTGGTGTGGATCTGTTGCCTGGAGAAAGACTTCTTGACCTTGAGTATGCGGACGATATTGTCTTACTGTGCGATAATGCCCAAGGCATGCAATCCGCACGTAATCAGTTGGCAATCAGTGTCCGTAGGTATGGTATGTGCTTTGCACCTTCGAAGTACAAAGTACTTCTACATCGTTGTCTCCGAAGGATTGCTGATACCCAGTGGCAACACCAAGTAATAATGCAGAGGTTCGGAATCGTGTGTTCGGGCACAGAGACAATAATGCAATCGGTGTCACCATCTTGAAACACCGACTTCGGTGACTTGGACATAATCTACGAATGTCGTCCCTGAGAATTTAACGTCGTGCATTATTTGCTGACTCTGGGACTGGTTGGAAATGGCGGAGAGGTGGTCAGTGCATGACATGGTGTCGTGGCATGAAAGAAAGCTGCAAAGGACTGGCTTGTGTTGGTCATTCTCGACTCCCTGGCTGGGGTCTGAGAGATGGTGCTACACAGTGGCTAGAGACGTTATCAGATACGGCTCAGAATAAAGACCAGTGGCGATCCTGCTGTTTTAACCTTCATTTACTTTCTTCATAAAAAGTGGTTGTAAATTCCTGAACTGAAAGAATTCTTCTGGTTGTACCTTTCCGTTCCCTCATTACTACCACTCTACCTTACACCAATCTCTTCGTTATTGATTTTTTTACGCTCATTACCGTTTTTTTCTTTTCTATTCAAATTTTCATTGTTTTTTGTGGCGCATATATATTGGCGCTGTGTTGTACCAATATTTAGGTGTTCAAATAAAGAAATAAAATATTTAACACGCTGGACTTATATCTATACGTAATAAATGATAGCACCATGAGTCTATATATTCCATTGTATACCAGATGCACTCATTTACAACCGAATAAATGGTTATACGTCTAAGAAAGGGGGAGATGATAAAAATAATAAGGAAATATATTTTCATTACTGAATAATATTATCGATACAGAATGCATATCGTGTTGATAGCCTCATGGTGAGTTTTCAACCAAAAGATATTACCTTCTGTTTTTGTGACTGTAGAGCTTTATTTTTGTAATATAGTTCATCTTGTATTGTTTCATAAATATTTATCATAATGCCGTCATCTTCTAGGTTCGCATTCGCTTCAACTAATCGACGTTTTCGTTCTTCAGCATATGTTTTTCGCCTTGATATTTTCTCGTTGACCTCCTTATTTCCAGCTTGCTCACCACCGACAATATCTGCTTCCAATAATTTCAGTCTGTTGAATTGATTAAATTAGTTATCACCAGATAGTATCTAGTTATTTTAAAATTATTATTTTTCGAAAGTCTGTTCAGTTTAATTAAATATAAGAGCTAAAATATAACTATCTTACTTACGCCTGTTACTGCTCGTGGAGGAACATGGGCAGCCACCAGCATTCTCCATCAAAATCAGTCCTGGGAAATCCTTTCCAGATGTTATTCTTTTGGTGTCTGCTTCCAATTCTCTACTCAGTGTGTTCTTTGGTCTCCCCCTTTTACTTTCCACTTCAGGATCCCAAGTTTGCGCCTGCCTCGTGATGCATTTTGATGATTTCCCCAATATATGTCCTATTCACTTCCAACGTCTTTTCCTAATTTCCTCTTCAACTGGAAGGTGGTTTGTTATCTCCCAGAAAAGGCTGTTGCTGATGGTATCCGGTCAACGGACATTGGGTATCTTGTGTAGACAGTTGTTTATAAGTACTTGTACTGTTTTGATGATGGTTGTTATTTTAGCTCCGTACAGTACCGTCTTGACGTTCGTATTGAAGATTTTAACTTTGATACTGGTTGACGATTGTTTTGAATTCCATAAGTTCTCCAACTTTATGGATGCTGCCCTTAGTTTGTCAATCCTTGCCTTTACGTCGGCATCCGATCCTCCTTGTTTGTGAATGATGCTGCCCATGTACGTGGAAGTTTGCACCTCTTCCAGAGTTTCTTCACCAAGTATGATTGGGTTGGTGTTCTCCGCGTTGTGTTTGGAGATATGGCTTCATCCTCAACAATGTACACCTTATTATTGTGCCGGTGAGGAATGGTTGAGATTTACAAGAAACCGAAAATATAAATAATTAGACTTACTTGATTTGCACTAATTAATGTATCTTTCATATTTTATCTACCTACAAGACTGGCAGGATTCTAATCCTGTACTCACCCTGGACGGTGAGCAGATAGACGTAGTTGAGAAGTTCGTGTATCTGGGTAGCTGCATAAGTGCTGGTGGGGGTGTGAGTGATGAGATCAATGCACGAATAGTGAAAGCCAGAGCGGCTTATGCCAATCTGGGCCACCTTTGGCGCCTTCGTGATGTTAGTCTGGCTGTAAAAGGCCGGATCTACAACGCGTCGGTGAGAGCAGTTTTGCTCTATGCTTGTGAAATCTGGCCTCTCCGAGTTGAGGACGTTAGACGACTCTCTGTGTTCGATCATCGCTGTCTCCGAAGGATTGCTGACATTCAGTGGCAACACCATGTCAGTAATGCAGAGGTTCGGCATCGTGTGTTCGGGCACAGAGATGATAACTCAATTGGTGTCACCATCTTGAAACACCGACTTCGGTGACTTGGACATAATCTACGAATGTCGTCCCTGAGAATTTAACGTCGTGCATTATTTGCTGACTCTGGGACTGGTTGGAAGAAGCGGAGAGGTGGTCAGTGCATGACATGGTGTCGTGGCATGAAAGAAAGCTGCAAAGGACTGGCTTGTGTCGGTCCTTCACGACTCCCTGGTTGGAGTCCGAGAGATGGTGCAACACAGTGGCTAGAGACGTTATCAGATATGGCTCAGAATAGAAGCCAGTGGCGATCCTGCTGTAACCTTCTTTTACTTTCTTCATAAAAGGTGGTTGTGTCTCCTTTACCTGAAAGATTTCTTCTGATTGTACCTCTTCGTCATTACTCTCTTTTTCTTTTGCGTTCCTTAGTTTTTTTTTTCTTTCTACTTCTCTTCGAATTCCCATTGTTTTGTGTGGCGCATATATATTGGCGCTCTCTTGTACCAATATTTATGTGTTCAAATAATAATAATAATAATAATAATAATTTTTATTCTTTACAAATCCTACTGTAACTGTATTTAGGCTTCTTATTGCTTATCGTTCTTTCTTTCACAATGTTTTACTTACTTACGCCGCCAACCAGCACTCGCCATCCAACCCTGTCCTCTACAATCCTTTCCATCTCTTTCCAGTTGTTGTTAATTCTTTTCATATCCGCTTCTCTTTCTTAACGTAATGTGTTGTTTGGCCTTCCCCTTCTCCGCTTCCCTTCAGGATTCTAAGTTAGCACTTGACTCGTGATGCAGTTTGATGATTTGCGTAATGTATGTCCTATCCATTTCCATCGTCTTTTCCCAATTTCCTCTTCAACTGGAAGCTGGTTTGTTCTCTCCCAGAGAAGGCTGTTGCTGATGGTATCCGGCCTATGGATGTTGAGTATCTTGCGTAGACAACTATTTATAAATACTTGTAGCCTCTTGATGATATTTGTAGTAGTTCTCCAAGTGTCAGCTCCGTACGGCAGAACTGTCTTGACGTTCGTATTGAAGATTCTGACTTTGATATTGGTTAAAAGTTGTTTTGAGTTCCATATGTTCTTCAATTGTAGGGATTTGGCCCTTGCTTTGCCTTTCACAATGAACCAGTTACTTTATGCTGTGAGCTAAGTTAAAGTACTTAGATAAGTCTTACGCGTATTCAACATTTCCTAACCATGACGTGCTATGATTCTCAAGATATAAGTCGGTTAGAAAACAGCTAAAGATAGTTGAACCAATATACGGAATGAAACCATGAAGTTGTAGATAAGTGGATTGGTTGATACTTCATTAATAAGCTAAACGAGTAGTTAAGGGCCTTAGATGCAACATCTCGAAATCACCGTCAGATTCTCGAATTTATTTATTCCTCATTTTTCATTGGATCTTGACCTAAACGTTCTCAACTTATATTATTAATCTCACTTTGAAAAAATCTAATCTTCATGTTTAGTCTCTTACTATCGTTGATGCTTCTTTGCTATAAATCTTATCAGTTTATTCTCACTGTAATGATCCGAGATGTGATAACTTAGTTTGATACATATGTATTCTAAGTCCTGTGTTGTTTACTTTGCACTGATTTTTTCTTAGTGTTTTTCTGGTAACTGTTTAAGGTGTTTGAGGTAAATCATAAGGTAGATGCATAAACATCGAAAAACTGATGACTTTTCCAAACTAGAAATTTAAATATGAGCCTACTGAAGTTCGTTGATAAACCAGTTGTATGACTGATTCAAGGAGAAAACGAATGTACAAAAGAAATGAAATGATTGATTAATTTTAAAAACAATAATAAAACGAATAGAATATCTTGTACGTAATTAAATGAACAAATCGTATAAAATTTATAAACAACAAACCTTTTCAGTAGTTCATCTTTTGTTACTTCCTCATCATATGTATCAATACGTACATTAGTGTCGTTTTGTGTTACAATTTGTTGTTGGATTTTATCGTCTGATATTTCTATCAACTCTTCCGTTTGATCTAAGTCTGTTATATGAGGTGTTACATAAATTAGAACAAATAACAAGGAGAAAGGATGTGCATATTTGAAGAGACGATTACTGAGTCATAAATTCAAGGTGGGTTAACTTTTATATTGACGTACGTAATACGGTGTACATTGAAAGTGAATACGAGTTTCACTTTATTAAATAATAGACTTGTATTTTTTAAAATTACAAAACAAAATAAATATTTCCAGAAAGTTAAGATATTAGTGATTGTTTGGCTGACACTCCTAATTGTTTCCAGTTCCTGCCCTCACATAGTTAAAAAAATTGACACCGGTGTTAGAACATTGAAGGCTACTTAGAGAACTACAAAATAAATGGCAGTTAGTGGGGTTTAGTAAACAAAATTTAACTTTTTTGGGAGAAGTATACGAGGAATTTCATTTGATTGATGTAATACTGGCCGATTTTGTCGACTTAATGATTCAGTTCAGCAAAATAGTAGTCAAATATGTAACGATATGTTAATAATTTAAATAAGATTTTAAAATGTGTATCTGACATTCACACGTGATTAATTTGACTCTAACTATTAACTTGAGACTCATTATTAATCTTTAGTCAAGAGATCATTGTTACCGAAGACCAAATCAACTGTAGCTGAACTACAGCTATTTGTTGTTTTGTAAATGTGTATTTTCATAAGCTTTAAAGAGAATGTTGACTGACTCACGAAATCGATCAACTTCCACACAAATTAGGATTGTTCAAGCAGAGAGAAAAAATTGCAAAGAGGTTTAAGAAGATGGTTGCATGATGATTGTTGTAGAGGAAAAAGTTTTGAGATGAATATGTTTTGTTGTATCACAATGTGAGAGCCTGATCGAGTGTGTAAAAACATAGTACACCAGCTGGATAGATACATTTGTAAATAATCATTTTAAGTGTTATCGACATATATATATATATATATATATATATATATATATATATATATATATATATATATATACTTTCTTACCACCAGTCTCAAATTCTCGGGTCATTACAATTAGTTGCTCAGCAACTTAATTGTTCTCTAAAGTTGATTTCTTAGGATATTTCTATAGATTTCATGTTTCCCTGACAATTTCATGAGGTTAACCTCTTTATTCTTACTTATCTTCATAAGTTACAAGTACTAGTAATATGGAATTAACAATGTTTACTACATAACAATATTTCAATGGTTTACTTATCAAAGTAATTAATAATAATTATTTTTATCGGAAGGGGTTTTGTGGAGATTGTAGTAATTTAAATAGTTGAGATCTTGAGTCAAATGAAGCTAGACCACCATGGAAAACCTGGATGCACTGGAAGGCCGTTTCGTCCTACTGTGTGACTCCTCAGCACTAAGCATCCAGTGTACTTCCCGGTTTTCCTTGGTGGTCTAGCTTCAATTGACTCATGGTCTCAACTATTGAAATTATTATTTTTGCTAGCGTTAACAGTGAAGTTTGTTCACAATTACAGTTACAGTAGGTTAATTTACATAGCAATAAATTTTTCACTTTTGATAGTCTGTGTGATTTGTAAATTAAGATTAATTCTACGATTGATTAAGTAAACAACGTCATTTTAAACAGTGTAATGGTTCACAATAGAAATAAAACTTGGGCTGTTGAACTATTCATGAAAATAAACAATGGAACTGACTTACTAATCATAAATAACTTTGAAACTTACGCTGATTCGTTGATGGCTGTAAATTTTGATGGCTATTCACTTGCATGAGTTTGGCATCATATAATTCTTTTAGATGGGTTGTATCCTTTAGCATTTTAGCTTTATCATCTGTTTCAGCACTATACTGGGCTTTCGTAGATTGCAATTTTAGTTCATAATCCTGTATTTATTAAAAAAATTAAGATAATAGTGCTAATATTCATTTAAGTGGTTTTGGTGTGAGATAAAATTCAGAGAAAATAGACAGTGGAAAATCTTCGAAATTAATACTAAAAGTTTCTGATTTACACTCATCTATAACATGCCAATTTAACGCTTTCGAAATAGTTCAAAAGCTGACCACTACATGAAGCAAGAATAATAATAGTAATAATGTGTCCGGAACAATAATTAAGTTTTTGCAATTAAACCATTCAGATCATAGAACACAACACTAAAAGACGGTAGAAAATTTTAAAACAAAAGATGGAACAAAACCTCATTTATTTCAGGACCTTATCAGTCTGTTGTGTTATCGCAACAAAACATAAACCGAAAATTGATCATTATTCTATATGAGTCATTAGAATTTTGTATCATTTACCTTACACTTATTTACAATGTACTTACTGTAGGCTACTAGTAGATATATTAATTTACAAGAAAATATTATATAAAATAATTGTTTAAGCTTACTTTTCTTAATTTTTCTTTCTCAGTTTCAGTATCCTCTATTTCAGTATTTTCTTTTCCATTGAAATATTTAAGATTTCCTTTAGGTGCCTGCATATTATTTAACAATTCTTTAAGATGCTTGATTTCTTCTTGATATTGACGTAGAAGCGCATCCTTTGGATCTTCATTGATTTTCGGTTTATTACGTATATTTTTTGCTCGATTAGCATATCGTAAAGTACTCAATGTTTCGTCGTAGTTATTGTCTGCTGGTGACAAACAAGCTATCATAAGGGTTTTTGTATTTCCTCCCAAAGAATCCTGTTCGAGCAGTTGTAAATGAGGAAACGAAAGTTCGATTGCCTGATGAAGATATCCTGGTAAAGTTTGTAAATATGTAATGAAATACGAAGTGCTATTGATTGAAGTAATTCTAAGGGTACCAGTTACTATATGGGTGTTAGATTACTAGACATAGACACGTTAACAAGTTGATTTATTTTTAAGGATCCTTAACTACTTAAAATCTAAAGGGTTTATATCGAGTTATTTTAACCGGTAGATGAATAGCGAAACCAAGTAGCTTTGAGAGATTATCCCGCATACAAGTGAGCTGTTTGAGTAGCTGAGCGTAATTTAAATCTATCTCCTCATTTACCATATGACTCAGCTTATTATCTTTGATAGTTGATATATGTCAATGTATATAGTTTGTATTCGTCACGGATCGATATATGTTGAGGTACCGTTGAAAACTGAGCAGGACTAGAAGGCCGTTTCGCTTAATTGAACATTTGATCAGTAGTTCTGTCTCATGAAATCTTTTCGGTTAAGATATCTGGATTGTTCACCTGAGCAGATTATTAATTTGATAGCTTCAGTAGTTCACTATCTTATCAACTCAATTATTCCATCAACAGTAAATCGATAAACATTGAGGGAAGAGTTATGTAGTTAATTTTTCTGCCTTGGTATAAATATATGTATATGAGTCTAAAGTTTTTTGAATAAAATAATCTTTTTGCCTATTTATCATTGGTTTGTTGTTTCAAAATAAGCACACAAGTATTTATTGATATATCCTGCGTTGAATCGTTGAATAACTTTTTTAGTCAATCAGTTATAAACAATGTTGAGAATAACATTTCCAACCAATAATTTTCTGAATGTTTGCACAACATACAAATAAAAGAATGAAATTAGGTGAAAATAATCTGTTGCTTCTTTACTATAGTATTGTAAGCGAACTGTTTAGATCAACTGGTTCAAAATAAATGTTGGCGATACTTACAAAATGAAATCAGTGCATTAAAAAATAGGAACACTTTTGTAATTAGACGAACATATACTTAACGGTTAGTTAGGATAGTATTATCCAGTTTAGCTCTACATACAGTTACAGAAATATTTGATGGTTATCTATGTTTTCCTATAAATGTACTTACGGGGATTATCGTGTGATGAGATAAGATATAAAAACAGTCACCATCTAGTTAGAAATACCCAATTTCTAACGATATTTAACTTAATACCAATAAAAGTCTCAGCAATTGTCCAAGTTTTTACTATTTATCAATATCAATAACTGATTTTTTACTTTAAAGTTCAAAAGTACTTTGTTTGCAGTAAAGTATGAAAAGTGATTAATATCAAAAGTTTCTCATAACATTCATTAATTAACTGACTTTCATTCCTAAAATGTGCTTAATCAAATGTAAATGTAATCTTTTTTGTACAAAGTTAGTGTTAGTGCACAATTCATAATAAGCAGAACTTTTGTTCACTTGGTATTGTTTTACTTGAATCTTCCCATTGGTGTTTTAGAACTGAAATTGATCAGTCTCTTATTGGCATATGTGCATACTGTGTGTATGCCTCGAAATTGCCTTAATTTACAAGCATTATAAGCAAAGATGGATAGTGGCTAGCAGTGGAATCCAGGAAGCGTGTTTCGTCCCATTGCACAAGCAAGTGGCTATCAGGACTCAGTAGTTGAGTGGATAACGCGATGGCGTCAGAGGTGAACGGTAGTGGGTTCAAGTCCCAGAGTGAACATCAACACTGAGATGCAGGTACATCCGGCTGGCGAGTCCAAAACAGGACGAAACGCGCATCCTGGATTCCACTGCTAGCCACTATCCATCTTTGCTTATAGAACTTTTGTTGTTTAGGTTAAATATTATGCCTAATCCATGAGTCATATTTCAATCATATCAAGTTGTTAACATAGTCTATATTTCCATACTGAAATAACTAAAACCAAGAGAAAGTAAAATGATTTAAATGATTCAATACGTCATTCTAGTTCTTAAAATTTAAAACTCATCAATATATAAAGATGACAGTTACTCAAAAACATGATGTGTATTTTACTCAAAAATAATATACAATTATCAATGTTATTGTTACAACAAAATATAGTATATTTACAATATTTTTTAAAATAGAGAAATGAAGTTATAATATTTCACAAGGTGATGTACATCGTCTTTTTAGAGAATAAATATTTTTTCTGTAGAAATTGAAGTAGTAAGAGAGAAACATAAGCTAAGAAGTTTAAGCTTGTTATTATCAGGTTTGTCACGGTTGACCTATGAGTTAAATCCCAGTCGGTAGAAAAATCCAATGATATGATCTGGTTGAACGGTAGCTGCACTTGCAACTGTATTATTAACTTAAGTCTTTAAGTGATTGCCAATTGAAGAAAGGACCAGTAACGGGATAAACAGACTTTATGTCATAAAATAATATGCTTATTCACAGAAAATGAATGTAAAATAAGCGTGATAAGTCACATGTGATTGAAGAGAATTAGCTTATAGATCATTCATTCCTTAATTACTAAAGAACTGAATGTTAAACCCACTTCTTGGACATCGTATCAGATGAATACCTAATGGGTATTCATATGTATGTGGACGGATTTGAATAGATGAGAGGTAAATAGTGTGACTAAATGATTAGTTGTATATATGCACATGTAGTATGATATTGACGAGTTTGGATATAAGTTAGGAATTGATTACTCAAATCGGTTGGTTAGTGAAACCTTTCTTTGTATTGGGTAAACTACGATTTATTATGATGTAAGGTGCATCCATTACCTGTATTTCTTTATTTGTAGTTGGTAAAGCCTTTCGGACGAGTTGGAATTACAAACATCAATGAGGTATTTACCAAACGCGAGGTTTCACATTCTTCAGGATTATTACGAAGAGTCTCTGTTGTCTTTGATACAAGATGGGATCTAACTAAATCCATCTTATATAAAGTACGTTACAATTAACATAGAATAATCTCTGGATGTCAAAACTGCTGTGATAACAAGTATCTTATATTCTTATTGAATCTTAGCATTTCCAAGTCTGTTAGCTGTTTAATAAGCAGTTTTAATTCGGTTCTGTCTTGCGTTCACGATAATTCCTCAGAAATGAAAGTCGCGTACCTTCGAGTTCTTATGATAAAATGAAAACACGGTATTTATCAAAGCTAACGAGGCTGATGATATCCAAAAACATTGCTTGCATCTCAGAGTCGATGTTCACTCTTCGACTCAAACCCAGTGTCTTGGGCTTCAAACACCATCGCGTTTTCTATTTAGCTACTGAATAAAAATAGCCACTAACTTGTGGGACGATCCAAACAATCAATATATGCGACTTAAAATTCATCCCATTGCACAGGTCAGTTGCTCTTTGGACTCAGGAGCTGAAGGTACTGGGCTTGAGTCAAAGAGTGAACTGCTACTATGAAATTCAAGTGTATCTAGCCGACGAGTTCCAAATAAGACGAAACGTACGTCCTGGCTGCTACTGCTAGCCACCATCCATCTCTGCTCATAATACTTGTTACTTACTGGTAATATTTATGCAATCCGCACGTATACCAAAAGCGACTGATCAATTTTTAGTCCTAAAAATCAATGATAAGACCCAAACAATCAATATATGTGAAAAAAACTGATACAATAAATTTTTGAAAATACTCAGACTGAATCGCAACACAAGATTTGATGCAAATGCTCAAAATAATTAAGTATTATTTAGATATAAAGGTCAGACATATTCTAAAAATCTACATCTTTTTAAAGGCTAACCTGTAACAGTCGAGTCAACTTGCTGTCACGGTAAGGTATATGTTTGACTTTGGAATCAACCAACGCTGAAATGACATTACCCAATGCTGATAAACTAAGATTAATTTTCGTAGCTTCTTTAAAACGATCACCAGTTACACCAGTTTTTGTTTGCCTTTCAGAGCCCGCCAAATCAACTAGATTTAATTTACCAGCCCTTATATGGTTGTAATCAAGCAGATTGTCACTTCGATCAATCATTTCTAAATAGATCGTGAAAATAGAATGTGATCGACTACTGTCAGCGTTCATTAATGTTGCTCCAGTTGAACGATTTTTCCATCCACGTACCATTATATTCTGAAATGAAATATAATTTAGACAACTTAATTTTCGTTTTTAAACAGTTTAGTTCCTGGTCTGTGTACCAGCTTTTACAAAGAATGTGTAAAATAGCAGAAGTACGAAATTTTGGATTTATATGATAGTTTTGTGTCAGCGTTCATAAAATAAAAAAGTCATAAGCGGATTGCAACTTAGCTTTACTCAAGATCTGCTATCTAGTATAAATTATGTATTTATATTTAAGATGATGAGTCTTTTGGGATAGACGGGGAATGAATTGCTAGGTAGTAAAATGAACTATGAGAAATATCAATGTCGGGATTTATGGAATCATGTTTCCAAAAAAACTGATTGGTAATGACAAAGAATCTAGTTTTGATTAAATTGAAATTTCTGTATAAGATTCTGTCAACCAGGCCCGATGAGAAGGTGCAATGAAACAAAAAAGTCAGTCAGTCAGTCAGCTACAACGTAGGACCAGGCACATATGTGCATCGGTCCAGGTTGCCATACCGCATCAGCACAACGAGATGAACACCGGATTCATAGCAGTGGTTAGGTCAAAGGTGGTAATATACAAGAGAAAGATTGCATATAGTACAAGAAGAAAGAATTGGTTCGTAGAAAAAAAGATATGAAGTGATTTTAATCTCTTGTTTTAAGGGAAGACAGGGAGTGTATGCACCGACGCCATTGTGATCGATTCTGAGCCATGTCACCAAGAGTCTCCAACCATTGGTTACGATAGTCACGCGGACCCCAACCAAGTAGTCTGCATCTACCAACATGGCTCAGACTAGAAGTTAGTGTCTTCAAGCACTGATGCCACGTTTTGGTTTGGCCGCCCCTAACTTTCTTCCAACCATCTCCAATACCGGATAGCATTGCACGTCGTGGTATTCGGTGTTCAGGCATACGTAACACGTGGCCCAACCATCTCAGTCGATGAAGATTCATAACCTCATCAACTGATTTACCATCATTCCCTAATACCCTGCGTCTAACCTCACTATTACTTACCCGGTGATCCCAGCAGATGCCAGCAATATTTCTAAGGCATCTGTGGTCAAATACTAATAGCTTACGAGTGTCTTCTACTCTTAATGGCCATGTTTCGCTGCCGTAAATTAAAACAGAATGGACTGCCGCGCAGTATACTCGTCCTTTTATTGATAGACGAATATCTCGCCTCCGCCAAAGGTGACGCAAGTTGGCAAAAGCCAAGCGAGCTTTTCAAATCCGTGCAGAGATTTCGTCAGATACCAACCCATTAGGGCTGATCAGACTTCCAAGATAAGTGAAGTTGTCAACGCGTTCAACTACTTCACTCCCTATCCTTAGTTCAGGTGTTGACGCAGACCAGTCCTGAAGCAACAACTTGCATTTAGAGGGAGAGAAGTGCATTCCAAACATTCTGGCATTGTTGCCTAGTGCTATCAAAAGACTCTGCATTTTGTCAGCGTCTTCACCAAACAGGACTATGTCATCTGTGTATTCTAAGTCGATAAGTGGACCTCCTGGATGGAGATCAATACCCGAGAACTCAGTCGACGAGAGTGTTATTTCCATCAGTAGATCTATGATGAAGTTAAACAAAAATGGAGAAAGTGGACAGCCTTGACGGACACCACTTGAGGTTGCAAAAGTAGATGACAGTTTGCCACAAGCTCTGACTCGACTAGTAGTGTTCGAGTAAAGAGCCTTTACAAGGTTTATGTACTTCTGTGGTACGCCTTTCAATGACGGACACTGCCACAGAATCTCGTAGTTTACAGAGTCAAATGCTGCTTTTAAGTCGAGAAAAACCACCATTGTCGGACGCCGATAAGTATACCTGTGTTCTAGAACCTGACGAATGGTGAATATGTGGTCGATGCAGCCACGACCAGGTCTGAAGCCAGCTTGATTCTCTCGTGTTTGCAGTTCACGAGTCTTAGTTAGGCGTCTGATAATTAACACCTAATTTCAACTACTGATAACCCAATCTTACACATACACACACTCATTTATTTATTTTCACATTATGAACGTTTTACATGATTTGGAAATAACCGACTCATGTTATCCTATTTACTAGAATCAGCATCTAATTATTATTGGACTAGCACAGTATAGATTTGATTGTTAATCGCTATATATTTCTTTGGTGATTTCAATTTTGATCATTATTCTGAAGAAGTCCAGGCAAGATTGCTAGACAAACCGTTTGAATTATTTAGATTCTAATCGTTGAGATTAATTCAAATATGATTTTTACATAAAATGAATTCTCTATACTCGGCGCCCAATTTTTGTCAAACTAATATTGAAAAATATTCGTAGAAAAAGGGTTAATTATTTAGTGATTCATAGCAAAGCAAATATATATTCAGGGGAGTCGAGTTTAATAGTTTTGTAACTGACTTGTAACTAAATGCTTTACGTGCCCAAATACCTCTGATTACCAAGATCGAGACAACAGAGAATGGGTGACGAACTTCATGAGGTGAATTTGAGGGATTCTTTTTGATAACTACGTAAGTTATGTAAAAAATTTATTTCACATGATCATATAGAGCTTTTACCAACCAATATTCAAGTTTGTTTTTTGAGGGTTTGGCATATTTACGAATCGGTAAGAAACGCCTCATACCTAACTGACCAAGATAAACTGGAATGATCAGTATTGAAATCTTCGAACTTTTACATAAACCCAATATACGTATGGAAAATTAAATGACTTAATCATTATCAAGTAGTTCCTTGGGTTTAATCTAAAACAAGCATTTGTCACATCCTGTATTATTTATTGCTTCAATTATATTATTTCTCAGCTAGAAAATAACTAGTTGTATGTGGTATTTTGTTAAGCTTTTCTTTATGATGTTACTTCATATCCGTTGTTAGTTACTATAATAAGATTTCATCCTCAGTTTTTAGTGCTGTTGTCACTCCTAAAACACAAACCACCCACAATTTTAGGTATAACATTCGAAACTCCATTTGGTTAAAATGACTTTTAGTGTGAGGCTCTAAAAATTAAGAAGTAAAATGGTTAAAAATATAGAAAAATTTCGACGTCTTTTATTTCAGTTTTAAACAAAAGAGTAAAAGATAACATTATATTTCGTGCTGATTGTTATTACTACAGGGTTAGCACGAGATATCTTAGTGATCTACAAAGCATTATATTTTTGTAAGGCGCATAACATCTAACAATCATAAATCCATACTCTACTTTCAAACATTTATTTATGTAAAATATAACGGCTTGTTTTTGTTAATTTTGAATACCAACTAAGTAATTAGATGAAAATGTGTTGAGACTAATCATTGTTCCGAAAGCCTTCTCAATACAATTTTAGAAGTCAATAAACTTTTAATGATAAGTCACTACCTGACATTCTGCAACTGAAGTTATTTTATGCATTGACAAGCCAGCAACGTAAACTCCTTTATCTGGATTCTCCTTTAGCTCTAATTTAGCTCTGTAGTCATGTCCCAAGAGGTCACGAACTTCTTCATTGTAAATTTCCAGAAATGATGCGTGGACCAAATATTTTGTCTTTTCACTTACAGACATAGTCTCAAATATTTGATCAAATGCGCTGCGATTTAAAAAATAGAAGCTACAAGTTATTGCGATACGTTGGTACGGTATCATCAATATTCAGTGATAAAAATAGGATTGTCATAAAATTGACAGTGTCCCTGAACAGCAATAAATCTGTTATTGCGATTTAAATGCTCTACAATTGTCCTATTAGTCATTATATTTTGAAGCACATGGTGTAGCCCATTCTTTTAGAACTTGAGCTGGGCTTCACTTAAACTTATGGCTCGCTGCTTCAAATGAAGTTATTTGTTCGAAGTCTAAAAACTAGTGAAGCTGAAGGCTTTATAATTACCATACATCACGATAGTCAGATGCAGTTAAATAGGGAATCTGAACTTGAGTGTTTGGCAAAAATAAAAACTACGGATCATGAGAAATTGGTAAGCTTTTTAAACCAAGAACAGAGTCCATAAAATATTGTTCGATTTCGTTACTGATAATCGTTATTGACATGAAAACAAGATCAAAAGGACAAAACTAATTCATTGTACTTGCTGTTCTCGCTATAGCCATTATATATATATATATATATATATATATATATATATATGTATATATATATATATCTTAAATCTAAGTGCAGCAAATGACTTGGGGGAAAATGAGTTATTTGTTGACTTAATGATTTATAAAGTGATCCCTTAAGGCATTATATGAAAGTTGAAAAATCGCAAAACTTTATTTTGTTTTTAAAGACGTTTTTTGATACAAGACACTAACTTTTGAAAATTAAACCTAATTGTTTGGATGATCATGCGTTGAAACGCCTTTTCTGCCGACTAATAATTATTACATATTTATGGTGTATTATGTGCTGGCCGGTTCTGAGTGGTGAATGAGCTAACTCCTTTGATAAAATACTGAAGAAAACATAATGACCAAATATTGATTTAGGTAAGTGTATTTTATGCAAATGATTTTTCATCGTCAACAATGCCCAAGACAAACTTTAACATTATATGACTGTTCTCTCTTAACCTGATTTTCGATTTGTAATTTGAGTAGGAGAGACTTAGGTGTTACGACCACCGGCAACAGTTATTTGTTAACATTTCAGAATCTTCTGCATATGGCGTTGAAATATGCTTAATGACCTCCATATCCAGTATCAACGTTCATTTTAAAATACCTATCAAGTTTATGAGCTATAATCTTGTACACACAGATTTTCTTTCCTAGCAAATGTCTTTCTAGCTCGGTACGCAGTTTAATTCAGATCAATGAGCTGTTTTAATATGAAAAGACCTTTATGTAATTTTCGTTTCATAACTTAATTTTAATTACCGGGGAATTACTCCTTTTTGGAATGGTGGCTCATATACTCCCTGCATAGTGTAAGATTTTCCACAACCGGTTTGTCCATAGGCAAATATTGTGCCATTGTAGCCCTCAGTAACCCCTTCTACTAGAGGGTAACACACATCATTGTATATTTGTTCGGTAGTTGAATTCTGGTCATATGATCCATCAAAGAAAAATATTTTTGGTGGGCGTTTCTTGTCGTTTGGGCTTATAATCGAACACTGGCCAGTATCGCTGAATATCTCAAGAATATTATCACATTTGAGCAAATGTTCACGTTCGTTTAGTGGTCGTGCTCTGACAACAACTTTCACAGCTTCTGAGCCCATTATTGCACAAAAATTCACTATTGGAAGATATAAATAGATTTTAATACCGCAACAATACCTTTGAGATATCTGTAGGTTTTAGTTTAGTTTGTGGGTACGTTGTGTTCGGTGAATGGGAAGGATTAATGTGAAAAAGATGGAAGAATGTGGATGGTTATGGCCTAATAAGCATTCGACGGACCTTCAGCTAACAACGAAAGCAATAATTAGCAACAAGAAATAGTTATGGTGTGAAGTTTGAACCGTTCGACGACGGAAACTAATAGCTCATAGTGTTAGATTTCGGACACGTTACACCCTAGTCATTTAATTGCACTTTAAGGTCACTAGACAACTTGTTGTTATAGTGCTGGTGATTAAAACAAGATTCTGCAAACTTCATGAATGAGGCAGAAGACATTTATTTCCAATGACGTGTGAACATTTTGACTTCTAGATAGAGGCATGAGTATATGAAACGAAAATGAATGAGTTGTACCATCAAATTATTTTGATATTTTTGTACAATGTAGGGTAAACCAAATTAATGTTTCGCTCCCGCTTGTTGATGGCAATATACGGTTTCAATTATTTGATATCGTCATCGTCGGTAGCTCAGCTTGACTGGCACTAGTGAATCCACGGTCTAACGTTCAGCCTCTTCACATACTTTAGCGTGTAACGGCACATATCCCTACATGCCTTGTATCTGACAGAATGTTTTTGTACCTTATGCGCTTGCAATCGAAAGGCTATTATCTCTGGAAATCTCCTCGTCAATCGGAGGTAACGCAACGTTAGTCCATATCACTCATGCGGCTTCGTGAATGTCGAAATATAATCTAGAATATTCTCATATTTCGCTGGCTGTAGTAAAATTGCTGGGCACTCTCATCCTCCGCAGAATCTTGCCTATGACTAAGATCAATATTACTGTACTATGGTCTCACTATCTCATTCACGCCTGCCAGTGGATGTTCATGACATGTTCATCCCTAGTTTGTAAACGATGAGGTTCATGTGTAAAACGTTTATGTTTAGCCACTCATAATAAACTCAACATTACCATTTTATACAGCAGAACTGGGAAACAGTGATTGGAGTTTGTCAAATAAAACGCACGTTTCTCTCATTGTAGTTTGTCTGGTTGTGTAGTGTTATCATGAGCTAGCTAGTTTACGTTAGATTTGGTCTCCATTGAAGAGACATTTCAGTGACGATCATTCATCATTATAAACGATTTTTGTGTAAAATCATGTTTGATCTGGTTGTCAGTTGTTGTTAATGTTTAGTGTAGCAATCCAGACAGAGCTTCATATTCAGTCGATTGAATTGTCTCCCACGTTTGTTCTGTAATGATTGGAGAGAATACTAGATGAAAAGTGGAGAAAGTAACTCAGACTTATTCTTGGCCCTATGTGATGTGTTGAAAACACTGGCAAATTCCTATCAGAAAGGGTAGCTATTAACTATATATTTCTAGTTCCGATCCCAATGGTGACTGAATCTGTTGTTTTTGCTAATGGTTATCCAATACTTTGCGTTTGTAAGCCTGGTCGTGTAGGAGGTTAGACCCATTAGATGGTGGTTGGAGGTAGTCAACAGGAAACCCTGGACCCGGGTTTCGTGCTACTTGGCACTCGTCAGCAAGGTATACCTGTAATCTTGAGGGAACTGGTGCTCCCTGGCGGATTCGATCTCGCGTCACGTCTCTGACTGTGACGCTGGGTGACCCATCGTTCGACGAAGGCGCGGGCTACTGTTTCAGCAGTGATGCTTGACTCATTGTTGTAAGAGTTGTATGTGTCTACTGCGATACTACTGGGTGCTTCGGTGTCCTGATGTGCAAATATTGTTACTTTAGCAATAAGTTCCTTAATTGTGAAGAATGCTTTCCATGCGGTGTCATCCGGATTGATGGATTTCTCATTTCTACGAAGTTGGTCGACTAGCGGTTTCATAAGAGACGCGCATTTTGATACGAACAGTCTATAGAAACTTACAAAGGCGTTAAATGTGCGAAATTGCCTGATGGTGGTCAGTTCTGGGTAATCCAGAATGGCCGCCACTTTGTTTCTAAGAGGTAGGATGCCTTGGGCATCATTAGTGTGTCCTAGTTAGTCTAAGGAGTCGGTTTCAATTCGGCATTTTTGAACGTTTACAGTAATGCCATGTTTTTGCAGTCGTTGGAAAACAAGATCCAGATGCTGGAGATGTGATTCGCTGTCCGGACGTGCCACCAAACAGTCATCAACATACGCATTTACGACGTTGTGACCTCGAAAAACGTAATCTATGAAACTGTGGAATGTTTGGGCAGCATTTCTTAGACCGAAAGACATTCGCGAAAATTCACAAAGTCCGAAGGGAGTTATAATAGCCGTTTTTGGAATGTCGTCAGTGGTCGTGGGAATTCGTTTATAAGGTTTAACCAAGACAATTTTCGAAAAGACAGTTGTAGCTTTCAATTTTGGTGTCAAGTAGTGTATGTGGGGCAACGGGTAACGATAAGGAATGGTTTTTGTATTTAATCACCGATAGTCTTCAGTTGGACTTCATTCACTGCTGTCCTTTTTGGGGACCATGTACAAGGGCGATCCCCGTGAACTGGTTGACGGTCGAATGAATCCTAACTCTCTCATGTGATCGAGATCGTTTCTGGCCAACCTCAGCTTTTCGGGAGCTAATCGGAGCGCTTTCGAGATAACAGGTGGCCCTGTAGTCGTGATGTGATGTGTAACATTGCTGGCTACACACGGCGATTTCGGTTGCAGTCGGTATATCCCAGAATACTTGTCGAGTAGTGGTTGATAGAATGGGTCTATAGTGTGCCTAACTGTGACAAGTGATAATCTGCAACCGGAAAAAGAAGTTACGCAAGCAAATAATTTAGTGTTTCCGTCTACTAGCATCCGTTTGCGTGTATCCATGAGTAGGTTGTGTTGCTGTAGGTGTATACCAATGATTTGTATAGAAGCATCTGCAACAACAAAAATCCAGTGAATGGGTTTGCGTAAACCCATATTCAGGTAAAAGTACCTGTTACCATATGTAGCGATAAGCTTTCCGTTTTCCACTTGTAGGTCTGAAATCGATTCGTGAAGCCAGTCGCTAGAATTCTATAATATCTGAAGTGTTTGAATTATCGTATGAACTAGGAATCCCAGAATTCACGCAATTGAATCAAGAACTACGACACAAGCGCAAACGAATGTATTGCATTTGGAATTCGAAACCGAGCGTTCAACAAGTACAAATATATCATTAGTTCGTTCAAACTCCAAAAATTCACTGGGAAAACGATAACGTCTGCGCCAGTATCGACAAGTTAGCGAACTTTCGTTATCACATCAGTAATGTATGGTAGACGGCTATGTTCTCCGGCCACGTTTGCCGTTAACGCGTACCGGCTGCGAAGTTTCCCGAATTGTTCTTCATATCGGTCGACTATGAGTTCAAATAATTTCAGGATCTTCTGCAATTTCGAGAAAATTTCCCGTACTGGTTATGATACCATCACTGGTCGGGGTTATCCGTCTCTCGTTGTCTAGAGACAGATTGTTGACGTGAAGTGCTTCTTCGTGGGGTATGTGACCGTTTACGGTCGTTACGAAATCTCTGTAACGTAAATCCGGGTCGTTTGAAGCTCTTCCTTGACTGAAAAAACCTCGGCATTAGGAGATTTCGTGATTTCTAAGATGCGGTCGGCAGATGCAGCCAGCTCGTCTACGGCGTTGTTTTGAAGCGACACAAACACAGCTTGCATCTGCTGAGTAAGCTTAAATCAGAAAAGTTGTCTGAATAGGCCATCACCGAAAGTTCATTGGCCGATAACCTCTATCATTCTTTGCAACATGTCCGTCGCAGAACCGTGTTCCAGGTCGATGTTATTAAGGAGTTGGTCTAACTTTGTCGATCGGTCAGGTCTCTGCGTTTAAGGATAGATCGTTTAAGTGTTTCGTAGAGTTCCGGAACATCACTGGTAAACATACCAGGTTTTAAGTGTCTGTCAAATTCGCGCGGTAGTGCCTTGACTACTGCGAGGAATTGTGCACGTGTGTCATTCACGCCGAAATATCAAGTACGAGACTGAACGAGCGAAAAATATATCTATCCAAAAACACGAAAAAATATCACAATATATAAAAATTAAAACAAAGCAATAATATATAACATCCCAAAAAGGAACAGACTCACAGTTTGCAATTTGGTGTACCAGATCACATCGGGCTCACCAATGAAGATGCCACAGGTATTTGGAGTTTGACAACGCTTTAACCAGTAACACCTTCTAATATGAACCGTACCCACCAATTAAAATCAAAAGACGGGAGCGAGGAGGTTGGACGACATATTTGATAGGATATTAATCTATTGAGGATCGACTGATGTTTTCTGGCTAGCGATTGCAGGAAATGTTGAGCAGGGCGTTTCTACTCGTGATCTGGTGAGGATGCATGACCGAGCACCTTCAGCTAGATGAGTCCATTAAAGCCAATGTGGTCATAATCCAATGTCAAAGACTTACAGAGCAATTTGATTTGGGGATTTATTTACTGCTACAATGTAATCTCTAGCCATCTAATGGAGTTGCTAGGATGTCTTTTGAAATGTATCACGTTTCTTAGATTCAAAGTTGTTATTCTGCATATAAATGATTAGTAGATTTTTGAGATTTTCTTTCATTTACGTGGTGTATTTCTCCAAATAAGACTGCTTTTCACGAAGCTGTATACACGTTTTCTGACCAGTTTGAGGAAACAAACTTCTGTGTTATTTTTTGATGACTTCTAGTTATGTACTAAATTTTTAATTGATCTGGGTAGTCTTCAGACAACTGGAGTTAATATTTGGCGGATTTCACAAACGTCTACTCAGGCATGTTACACTTTTGGCTTATTTGTCACTGATGAACGTATTCCAGTGTTGAATAAACGTTGCATCGATGCTACTAAATTTTATATATATAATAAACACTTGTATCGTCTAGATGATAATTTTCGTAGTTCTCCAAGTTTCCGCCCCTCATTGTAGAATTGTCTTGATATATATATATATATATATATATATATATATATATATATATATATATATACAATTTAGTCTATTGTTGGGTATATTGTTCAATGAAAAGAAGTTTAGTTAGAAATTTGTTAGAAATAAAAGTGTCTATGAAATAAATACTATCTAAAATAAAAATAAAAACGTAAAATGTCAGACCAGTAGAAATTTTGGTGTAAATGGTATTAAGAATTATTTTATCGGATAAATTATATGAAATACAATTTTTCGTCTAATCGGATAGATGGAAAGTAACTTTTTAAAACCGGTGCAGTTTGAAATTCCTAAGATGGATAAATGCTTACTTAAATCGTAGAATGAAAAGATAAATCAAGTTTAATGATACAGAGGTTGGTTTTCGCTCATATTTGAAGTTTAATTAAGTTTAACATATCATTAGAAATACATAAATATCTTTTTGTAAAAACCAAGAAGTATCGGTGATGATAAATAAAATACAAAATATGTATGCTCACAGATATTTGCTAGGATTCTTGAAGCATCCTGGACTCAGATTTCTGACGTTTTTCCACTCAGTTTATATCATCTGACTCAACCAACACAACAACATCCTCATTTGAAGATTTCACAAGCATACCAGTAGTACATTTCAGAAAGCGGAGTAGATC